TATATATATATATATATATATATATATATATATATAATAGTACACAGTGATATACACGAAGTTGTTAAAACGCGGCCTAAAGATAAAAATGGGTAAGATTAGTGCAAGTGGTCAGCAGATATACGCAATTCTATTCCCGAAACGTGTGCATGCGCCTAACATAATTCTACCAGACCAAGATGCTGTTGTGCTTTTCTGCAGATCATGGAGGTATTTTAATTTTGTAGGGCAATTGATATGTTCTTGGGATAGTTTGAAAATGTTGTGTAGAAGTGTTGAATAGTTTTTCTTTAAATTGTTTGATTGAACTGAAAGTGCAGTGTTGGTGTATGTGTAGAGATTTTCATTCAAACATGTGACCTTTTAAAAATTGCAGAAATTTTTTTTTACACAAAAGGTTTCCGTTTAGAACGAAGATTAAACAATATACTCGACCAGATGTCGTGATTTTTTTCTTTAAATGAGTAGAATTTTCCTAACTTTTCTACAGCTCGTTTTGTTCGACGTGGCCGCTAGGGCATAGTTCATATTTATTTTCGAATCTGAGCTGTCCCGCCAATATTGAAGCCATAGATTCCTCCCATTGCAATTTATCCCTAGATTGAATGACTTTAGCAGAACGCGACAATCACACAAACGTGTAAAAAATAAGCGTTACTATTCCTTCGTTTTTGACAATGCATCCATCTGATTTTTGTATATGGGTCATATTTTGTGACTGAAAAGCTGTTCGTTCATAAACTGTAGAAAATGGCGCGTGACAGATATTATTGATTAAATTATGAAAAACTAAAGTGAATTGGGATTAATTCCATACATATGTCATTTTTGGCGTGCACCCCTGCTACTCTGAATTTTAAGATGTGTTTCAACTTTCTCGGCCCTCGTTGGAAACTTCTCCGACCACCAATAGTCTTCAGCTTGTCCAATCTCCCCAAAACATCAACTACGCCCATAACATTGATCTGAAATGCTTCGATGAGTTAAGAGCATCTTACCCAGACCATTTTTCTTATACACTGACGGCTCTGCAACATACGTCCATCTCTGGTGCTTGTGCAGTGTACAGTAGAACGGCCACGGCCGCATGCAAAATCCACCCTAGCTGTAGCGAATTCTCTCCTAGAAGTTCCCAGTGTTGCAAGCCCTGAAATTAATAGAATTAGGTGCGTCAAGACGAGTCGTTATACTACGCAGTTATTCCCAACACTTTTGACGTTTTCACCCTCGGATCACTTAACTACAATTATCTCGCCATTATGACCTGGTAGTATGTTGGGGTCAGGAGGGAATTGCAGGCATTGAGCCGACCAAATCGCGAAAAGAGCTTCCTGGAAGTCTCTAGACATTCTTATGTTCCCTCAGCACTCTCTGAGACAAACATAAAACGCTGTATACGCGGTGCATGGCGAACAGAGTGGCTGAACTCGGACGTGGAGCTCACGAGAATCAAGGAATCCATGAAGCCTTGGCCTTCCTCGTCTTGTGGGTCAAGGCGCGAGGAGATAGTTGTGACTCACCTTCGCATCGGTCGCTGCTACTTCTCGCACGGATGTCTTCTCTGCGGTGGCTCACCCCTTCCTGCGATGATTGCTCGACGGGACTCACCGCGTAGCAGGGTCTCCTCCATTATTGTAAGGCAAGAGGTAGCCTCTTCTGCAGCTTCACCTTGCTGTCTCTCTGGCAGAGATATTAGGCCACGACGAGTCCTCGCTCTGCAGCTTCTTCGCCTTTTTACGAGAAAATGCAATCCACAAACTTATCTGAGGGAGGAGGATAACGCCAATTAATATGGTTTTTACTCCAAACCTGATTTTTTTCCCATCCTTTTTTTACCATTGGACGAATTCGTTTTCGTGTTTTAAAAATTATACTTTGTTTTTTAAATATGTTGGTTTGGCACTTCCACCTGTTCCTAAAATAAATTAACCAAAATATTTTTACCACTCAGTAATTCGGCGTCACTCACATGGCGAACTTTCCCACTACGGATCTGATAGCCCGGCTGCAGTGTGTCTCAGAATAAATGCTGCAAACTTCAAGTGTAAGTAGAAGGATCAAATGTTATCACTTTTTGCCTATGAATATATAGTGGGAAATCGCTTATTACGTAATTATAAGCATTTATTCTCGTTAAATTTTTCCCAGATTTTTAGGCAACTCTGTATGCACAGGTGTTCAGCAGGTACTTGAAATCTTGATGACTACGTCAGTGACCTCCTGAACTTCTCTTCCTAAGGAGTTCCAGAAAATCAGGTGTAAATTTTACATCTGTTATTCTGTTTTCGATTTGACAACTTTTACTGTAGACGTTTGTATCATTGCTTCTGACATATCTGTATATTAAGAAATAATGTAAGAAGCAACTGATATAGCGCGTGCAGTTGCGAATCTGAAACTAAAGATTCGTTAACTGGGAGAATCCAACTTTGAGAGCCAACGGTGTTGTATTTTAGACACGAGCTAAGTAGCAGTGAATCCGACCTCTGTCTGCCTGAGATACGTAGATCCGAATGCCAGAAACCAAATGTAGTGATTTGTAAGGCAGCGTTTCGCTGACTGATGTGTAAAGCGCCGGAGCGCAAGATGCAATTCTTCTGGGCTCCCTCGCTTCCGTCTCTTGCGAATCGCTTCACACCTTATGAGGCCGGCACAATAGACCGCGAAACTGTTTGAAATTTACAAAATAGTGAGGAAATAATTTTTGGAAAGGTGTGTTTTATTACCTTTAAACAAAATTATATTTGCCCAATAATAGTTCTCTTTCTTTGTAATCTCAAGAAATTTCAATACATTCATGACTATATACATCCATTGGTATCTTGCAATCGTTGATTGTGAATGTCTACCTGTCTTTCAATCTTTCCTAAGATTAATAATTATCACCTTCCTCATTCTTGTAATATTCCACAGTATACTATTTAAATTCGAAACTGAGAATATTTAATATTAATAACCACAGTAACGTTTGACCGACAATGCTGTCTGTTCATATATTTACAGTCTTGTGAAAAATGATTACTGTTTTTTGAATTTATGCTATGAAATTTTGCTTAAAATAATGCAACTTTCGAAACGACTGGGACAATGGTTGAAAATTGTTGCTACCCGCCTGAGACATGTATTCTTTGGAAACTGAGCCAAACCGCGACTGTGTACTGTCACAGTACTCAAATGTGCGCGATGTTGCCATTTATTTACTTGACTCTGGTGATAATGGTCACCCGGTTGTTTCTGATAAACCTCACCATTCCACCGAACATCTTATCGAAGTTAAGGGTTCAAAGTCAGAATATCGCGGGTACAATGTCATTCCCATGAGACACGATGGAGGCGAGATTGCTATGACACCTTGCACACGTACTTCCTTTTTACTGTAATTGTATAATTAGAAGTTGTGAAAAGTTTACAAAACTAATTAAACCTTACAAAACAAGCACTACAACGGCTGAAAATCATCTATAGCTGATTGACTCCAGAGACATTACTTGTGAATAAAATCATGAAGTGTTCATACTGCGACAAAATGTATTCACGCCATTCACGCAATTTGGCGATGAATGAGCGGCTGTGCCTAGGCCTCGTTCCAGTCCTCCTTGATCATGTGCGCGGCCTTCTCGCCGATCATGATGGCGGCGGCGTTGGGCGCTGTGCCCACGACGGTGGGCATGACGGAGGCGTCGGCCACGCGCAGCCCCTTGACCCTGCGCACCCGCAGGCGCGCGTCCACCACGCTGCCCGGGTCGTGGGCCGGCGCCATCTTGCAGGTGCCCGCCGGGTGGAAGAGCGTGCCCGTCAGCTGCGGCACGGCGCAGCGCCAGAAGTCGCGCGTCGCGAACGGCAGGTCCTCGCAGCCCGGCGGCACGATCTCCTCCAGGCGCGCGCCCAGCGCCTTCAGGGCCTCCGTCTCCGCGAGGCGAGCGGCTACCTGCGGGGGCACGCCACTGAACCCTCAGACAGAGTTGGTTGTTTTTTGTTTTTTTTTCAACAAAGTCTGTCGTGTTGAATAATGCAATACGAATACTTCTGTAGCAGTACGATTCGATCAGCTATCACTCTTTCGGAACTAGAATCAAGGACCAACAGGTATGGGGGATACTCAGAAGAACATTATTACATTGTGTAAACACATTAAAGTTTCACAACGTTCGTGTTTACAAGTATAATAACAGTCCGGCCCACATCTGGCCTCTAGTCACTCAAGAAGAAATGATGCCCAAAACAACAAATTATCTTTTGCAACAATGTGTTGTTTAAATTATTAAGCAATGCTATACACATTTTAAATTATTACTGCCTTCCGTTCAGTAATGTTCCTTCTAAAAGGAAACACGATCTCAAGAAGAAACGCGAAATTTTAGACAAGGTGAACCCTGGTTCTTCCCAGAAAGCCATTACTGAACGAGCTACAAAATGTCTACGTAAACTAAGTTCATAAGTCCCAATAGTCCCATAAGTCCCATAAGTCCCAATAGTGCGGTCCATTTATCAGGCATCCTATGTGCAAGGAATGGCAGGATTACCGATAGTATACTTAGAGCCAATTGTCGTTCTCAGAAAGTCGATGCGTGTAACGCAACTGGATCTTTAAATTCACTAGTAGGGACTCGTGCAATAAAAAATGTATTCAACTTAATATTACAAATATGGGAGAACAATTGCACACAACCAAGAAATGCTAGCTTTTTTAAAGATTGATTTCAGACTCTGATAAATAACAGATTAAACGTTAAAAGTGTATTCGCATTCTTCTATACTACTGCGGCGTCGTGGAAGTAAGCACACAGACGGTAAAATAGTATATCAAGTTGTAGTTACTAAATGTATAAATGTTTCGACTACCCCGTACACGCTTCCGGTATCTCGCGTCCGCCAGCCGCGATCGCACCATCCTGTGGATACACCATCTGTACACGAATGGTCCAAGTGCACGCCCCTACCGCGCCACTCGTGACCTTCGCAACCCACGAATAGCACCAGCATGGGCGTGAACTTTGCGAAGTGCGAGGTGCACAAGAACAAAACACTTCGGCTTATCCCCACGTGACAACCGTTGAGCGTGGAAGGGAGGTTGACTATAACTGACTAGCTGCAGGACAAGCCGGCGTCCACACGACAGTAATAATATCTGCCGCCCCTAAACCTGTGGCTGCTAGCTACAGTTCTCAAGTGTGCGAAGCTTTCGCATCCTCCTCCCACGCTGGGCAGCCATCTGCTTCAGAGGGACGCTACACTATGTCGGTTTAGGAACCCTTTCACAAACATTGAGGCCGGTGAGTGATTTAGTGAGATGTTAGCATCGGCTGCTCACCTCGACGACCGCCTGCAGCGCCTGCAGGTCCCTGGGGTCGCTCAGGTAGTTGGTGGTGATGGCCGGCGCATCGCTGGGGTCTGCGCTGCGCAGGCGCACGGAGCCGCGGCTGTGCGGGCGCTGCAGGGTTGCCAACACCAGGACGCTGTCGCGCCGGGAGACGACGTCCTGCACCTGCCGCGCCACCTCGTCGCCCAGGTTGAAAGCGCTGGTCACCGCCGACGCGTCGCCCTTGGGCAACGCTGCGTGGAAGAGCTGCCCGTCGGGGCAGTCTCTGGCTTCGTCTTCTTTGCCTGGGCGGGCAAAAGGCCAACTCCGTGCTGCTGAGCGCGCAGCTCGCTTTGAAGTTGGCGCGCGCGCTGTGTATGACAGTGCAGAGCAGCTTGGCAGAGCGGCGAGCGGGCTGGCGCGCGGAAGAACACAATAGTTCTTTACTGAGATCGAGTTGGCTTCAGAGACTGTGGTAGATGCCGTTTCGCCGCCCACGCTACTGCTCCGTTTACTCTATTGGATTATTGTGAATTAGGTTTCGAATTGGTAAATCTGGTAACACGGCGAACGGATTACGACTTGGTACTTTCTTTTCTGGCAAGAGATATACCTGGCATCGTTTATAATTTCGGTAGTTACTCTTTTTTTAAAGCTAAAATAGCACAATAAACTGTTATAGTTGCACACCCGTCTTCTAACTTTATCAAACATTTCACTTTCGTTCCGCATTTATAGTGGAAATGAAAGGGAGTAGTTAAGCAAAATTGATTAGGGTACTTAAAATGTTCTCCAGAGACACCTATTTTAGACGTTGCCTACGGTCGCGGAATAAGCTTTTCTTGAGATAGAAATGTGTCAAAGTGCTATTTACATTGTTCTGTGATTTTGGCTATTTCACATGGAGTGTGCAAATTTAAGATTTTGTCCTAGAAAGAGCGTTCAGTTTGACTTTCGACTGTGCTTTCGAAATAGTTTATTGCCGAACGTTTGTATTTTTACTTTCCTGTAGTATAAAAAACGCATTCTCTTGTGATCAAAATCAGATATTTTGTCCAAAATTTCTAGATGTTTTGACAACCACTTTTCCGTAATCACCTCTTAAATTGTCATACTATTGAAACCGTTTCATCAATAATCAAATGTATGCGGAAGACTGATATCCTTATAGTAGCTTTTTAAAGAATTTATAGTTACTGTGAAAATATAAAAAAAAACTAGCTTTGACGTATCGACTAGGATTAATTTTCTTGTATTTTATGAACATAGTCTGCATATTGTTTATCTGGTACAGTTTGTTAGTGCACAGTTCTCCCGCCGCTTGTACTATATTTAAGAGCGCCTATCTAACCTTGTATACTTTTTGTTATACTTCCTAGCACTTACGAACGTATGAAGAGAAAGTATTGTAATTGTGTGCCGGAAAACAGCCAATGTTTAATACAAAACACTTTTTTTTAATAGCAAACTAACATAACATCAAGTCCAGGGAATACTGAATAAATTGATAAGGTGATTAAGCGAGACTCGAAACCGCGATCGTTCAGCCCGAGATCTCCACGGCATTACTGCCTTACTAATCTCAACCACCTGGATCGATAAAACACGTTTAGAATGTGCTTAATCATGAAAAGAGTGATAAACATCGGAAAGAAGCAACATAAGATTATCTTCTGTAGAACTGTTTACATACCTGGAGCACTTTCAGTGTTGATGTAGGTCGTGACTGACAAGAGGTCGTTGCTGGTGAGTGGTCCCGTGCGATTCTTGAGCAGGAGATAGAAAGCTTCGTTGAGATCCACATTGAGCACGTCATCCAAAGAAATGAGAAGGCCTAGGTACGCCAGATGATCCTGCAGATTTTCGCCCACTGGCAGGTCTGCCACCAGCGGAATGCCGAACCTGTCGAGTTGCTCCTTGGGCCCGACGCCCGACAGCATGAGCAGCTGCGGGGAGTTGACGGCGCCGGCGCTCACGACGACCTCCCTGCGCGCCGCCACCTCGCGCGCGCCGGCCTCGCCCGCCCGCCGGAAGCGCACCGCCGCGGCGCGCCGCACGCCCCCCTCCGCCGCCACCACCACGCGGTGCGCCAGCGCCTGCTTCACCACGTGCAGGTTGGCGCGCCCCCGCGCGGGGCTCAGGTACGCCTTGGCGGCGCTGCAGCGGGACCCGTTGACGATGGTTCCGTGTGCAACGCCCGTCCCGAACACCTGGAAACAGAACGCCTCTCTCAGATGGATGGTAGGAACATATAAATGACACAACCACAATCTATATGACACCTGACAAAATTATATATTTTAGAAATATTCTCTGGTTTAAAACAATGGGGCGAAATTTTATTTTTTTTCTTTACTATCATTTCGATTCTCTCTCTCTTATCTAACAGCATCGAATGAGTTCCTATTACAGACAAGAAGGCTCTGATGCTCACTACTTAGTCGCTCTTTTTAATTCTACATTCACATAACTATAGAAATAAATTAAACTACTTATTATGAAAACTCATGATGACAAAAGTTCATTCAGAGTGCATTCAGAAGGATCAATTTCGTGTGGTTTGAGAAAGGAGTATAAAAGTTAGCAGTACCCTATATGTTGAGACTGTCAAGAATAATTAATTCATCGACTCACAAGTTATGAAGACTACGACTTGATTCGAGTTATTGTACGTATTAAAGGCTTGCAAGACACGACAAACTAACGTGCTCTCCGAGCTCTTGGCTCAGACGTTTGCAGCCGAACGCTGCGGACTTGGATTCAAGGCGTACGTAAATGTTAACAGGTTCTAGATTGTGCAGCTTTTCCTATGCTCACGTGTTCCATCTGACACATTATACCAGTCATAATTAAGCGTTTACCATACACCGTTGCGATCAATCCAACCATTGACAACATAGTAACAAACAGCCTCTATGGCAAGATTCTCAGCTAGCGAGTGACAAGGGGATGCAACGGTGATTGGTTGAGAAGGTAAGCTCGAGAGCGCGCTGACCCCGTCGCCGTTGAGGTCCGCGAGGCGCCGCCACCCCATCTGCTGGTACGCCTGCAGGAAGGCCGGGCCCAGCGGCGAGTGGAAGCCGTGCGGGCGCACGCTGAGGGGGCCGCCGCGGCCGTGGAGGCGCGCCAGGCGCGGGTGTGCCTGCAGCAGCCGCTCGTCCTGGAAGCTCTCCATCCGCCTGAAGAGGGGCAGCACGTCGTCGTAGCGCCAGCCCGCGTTGCCCGCCGCCGCCCACGCGTCGTAGAAGCACGGGCGCCCGCGCAGCAGCAGGTTGCCGTTGATGGCGCTGGTGCCTCCCAGCGCCTGGAGGCAACGGGCACGCGACAGGACGGTCAGCCGGCTGGGCCAGACGACTGGGTGACCTTTGTATTAATATAATGCTCACAGGAGATTATGAGAAATTAAGAGATCGTAATAATGCCAAGATCACGATATGATGGTCGAGAGCTGCCCTCTAGTGGTGTCACCCGAGAAGCCAAGACTCATTCGACACATTAGTAGCGTTGTAGTCGTACTATTAGTAGTCGTAAATGCGTTTTGTGGATACACAGTAAATATCGACTCTGTCACCTCTGTCATTTATCTCTTTGAAATTTTTAAATTCGTCCGTGATTGCAAACAGAGTTCTACAAACTGTATGTGATTTTTTTTAACTATCTGCCCATATTTTGGGTTCTAATTCCAAAAACGTTTTGACTGTTTACACCCCGCGATCGCGGCGTGCAAAGAAAGCAAAGACACCTACCACGTACATGTGTATCTAAAATTCCCAGGCTTACGCAATTCTGTGCTTGATTCTCAAGGTTCCTTTAGATATACCTCAGAAGAAAAACAAACCGAAAACCATTTGAGTTGTATTATTTTAAAACAATTAATATTACTGGAATAAATATTTCATTTTCTCTTCTTACCGTCGATGATCGACATCCCTATGGTGTATTTTTCGTCTAGTTGCTTTTTATTATTGACCAAATGGAGGGTTGGCCTTGCTTTATTTCTGGACTGTAAAAGTAGCATCACTGCGCGCATTTTGTTGAACTTTCTCGCTACTAGCAATAGGAGTAGCGTCGTCTGTGTGTAGTTATTTCGAAAGGATATCAAAAAAATTGAATCTGTAGCTTTTTTTACTGATGCTGATGCCTTTTCTATTTCTCGGAAGCGAATATTTGTAGTTTTCAAATGTTGCCAACCATCTTGTTACCTTAATTCATAATTAAGCTATGTTTAGTAAGAGAATGGCGTCGGAATTCTGGAGTTCAAGAAAGCGTTCGCATGTGTAATAGTTACTTATGCACCAAGGACGTTATAAGGGTTCTCATGATTGAGCGGTGACAAAAATGCTGAGGGCAGGCGGCCTGGATTTTTTGTTGCTGGAGATCATTAGACAAGGGGTATTAGGGTTAAACCCGTAGTACATATATCATTTTAATTATTTATATTTACTTATTTACGATTATTAATTAACTAGTTTCTAATTTGACTCGCTTTTTCACTTCATATCTCTCTCCCATAATTCCCTTTCATAATTCCTGCCGCAAGGGAACGTGAGCACCATTCAAGTGTGTGCATATTCCCCTCGTCACCAGGATCCTCTCGGTCCAGGTGCGCTATGGAGTGAATATTAAGCTCACTATCCAAGGCCAAACAACGAAGTAAACGTATCAGTAACAAATAAAGTAAATAAATGAAAAAGGTTTCCTGCCTTGCCGCGCGGCCATTTCCACCGTTGGTCCTTCAGCCCTCTGTTGTTGGCGGGAGCTGGCTCCGTCGTGTACGCCCAATCGATGTGAGTGCCCAGCAGGTTGAAGAACAGGGGGACGATGTCCGAGTCTGGCGGCGGGTCCCCCCGGCCTCAAGCAGCAGCACCGACCAGTCGGGGTTCTCGGAGAGGCGCGCCGCCACGGCGGAGCCCGCAGACCCCGCCCCCACCACCACGAAGTCGTAGGTGTCGCGGAGGCGCTCGGTAGCGTCGGCCGGGAGGGCGCCGGCGTCCCCCACGCGCTTGTAGGACTCGGTCAGGGCTGCCAACAGCGCCCCGAAGAGCACGGCGCTCACGCCCGCCGCGTCCGCCGCGCAGCCGCCCGCCGCGTCTGCCGCCCAGCGCCCGGCGCCCGCCGCCGCCCCCGCGCACGAATCCGCCATGATGGCGCTCTGAGAACGGAACACGCGATTCATCACTTCGTCTTTCCAAACGTACTTTTCTACTGCGAAGGTAAATGTAGTGTTGGGAGGAAGTGGCGGTGTCCTTCCTACGCTGGATGGTGAGATCCGCCGCTGACGCTCGTCTCCCGGCATGTGAGGTAGCCGTGGTGCGTAGTAGTGAAAGTGTGTGTACGGGGTGAAGATAGCACAAGGAAGAGGAAGAAAAGATCGCGCGCGGTCCGTGGCCCGGTTGTTAGGATACTGCCCCGACATTCGCCTGGCGTTGATCGCAGAAACCATGAAAAACTACCGATCAGAGCTGCCGGCCGCTAGAATTCCCTTCCAAACAGCGACTAAATTCGATCTAGCTGTGCAGTGAGTGTCGTGCCCTCCGTCGGGACTCGAACTGTAGGATCACCGGGCATGGAATGGCAATATGTCCTTGTCGTACCATTTTGTGTCATAATTGCAGGTCGTGTCGTGTCACTTCTTGTGAAGTGACGTGTCGGCTGAGATGGCTCGTGGCAACAACTACTGTAACAACAATTACTCTGAGCGGCTCTGGATTTCGAGTCCCGACGTTGGCGAATTCTCAACACTTAGTGGTTCGACACTACAACACCGGCGCCATATAAGCGACTCCGACAGTTTTTTCGCTTCGTGCTGTGTTACATCATGTGAGATGCTGTGGCGCTATCAGCTTGCGGGGATTTATTTGCTTTCTTACAGCCAGGGTTCAGCATTGCTTGTCATTTTACTTTCGCGAAGTCGCGGAGGTGATAAGGGCGGTTTTGGCGAAAGGTATGGCCGTGATATCAAGGTGTGTCAAAGCTTGTTGGTACGAGTTAATGTTTTGAGATCAATTTTTTTTGTGATATAGGTGGTGCCAGTTGCGTAGTATTGTGTGGCAACAGCGCATTGAACTGTCTGAGTCGCTTATAGGCTACCGGGACGGTAGATGACTTTAGCTACAATTTATGACACTGAATAGCGCGTTCGTCTTCAACCTCTTTCTGGAAGACCATGCTAGCAGTCGGCTGCTCTGACCGACCACTGCCCCTTTGCACAGACCCACACCCACTCACGCGCGCACCTGGGCGAAAATGGAAGTTGTGGGAATTGCAGAACATCGTTTTCCTCTCAGGTGTTGGTAGAGTACCTTTGATCGTTACGCGATCGAAAAGATCTCGAGTATTAAAGATGTTGATAGTAGAGACAATCTGTTTCTCAAATTAACGCAGACAAATGAAATGCGTGCAATTTACTTAAGTTTATTTAATGAGAACGAAATCTTGATGTTTAAAATTTGGAAAATCTGCTTTGTAGATTTTTGTTTTATTTTACCGTCATACATCAGTGATGTAATTGTTCAAAAAATATTTATTGGGCGAGTTTGAATCCTGATAATGCCAGCTTTTCTAAGTTTAATGGTCTGAGGAGATTCTTTATCAACTGTTGATAAACCCGGGTGTCAGGCAATAACATTAATGCAATGTAACAGGCTTGATAAGACTCGTAACTGCTGTTTCATTTGCATTGAAATGAATTTGCTAATATCGCTATTTTTGTTTGTAGTTTTTGGTTAATAGCGGAGTGAGATATTAGAGAAATGTTGTGAAGTTGTCCAAATTTATGGATGAAATCTAAACCATTAATTTTGCAAATATCTCTTGAATTTAAAACCGTAGATTATGTCATTTAATAGCTGTCGTTTCGTTTTAGATGTTAAGATCCGTTTCCATATTCCCTTTGAGGATGAGTTATTTATCATTATGAAAACTTGATTTATTAATTCAAATAAATATTCTTTTTTAAATATATTTATTTTATAAATGTTCAAATTGTATTATGGGTTAAGGAAATTTACAGACTCAATCAAATTAAAATAAGCTACAATAGTCTGATGTTGAATTATTCAAACACAATTTCATTGTATCGTGCCATGACCCTAAATGTTGGTTGTTACAAAAAGACACAATATCGATGTTTTAAAATATGATTAGTTTTTGGCTAATGGAACATGTGCTAATGGAATATGTGACCAACTGACCAAATTAAATTTTGCTGTAGAGGCGTTCTATTCAGCACGAATATTTAAGTAATTTTCAATTATATAATGAGATTACTTACTGCAGATATTACTCTTTGATCAAAAGTACAAATAATTTTACGGAATGCAAATTATTGTATAACAAATAAATTTTAATACAAAGTACAAATAATTTTAAAATGCCGAAGTTCCAGTTTCAAAAACAAAATAAAAATCCCTATTTTAAATTTTGTAATTATATAATGTCTTACTGGCTGTCAGTACGCACCTTTGTCACAATACCGCAATCGGTGTGTATCCGTGAGCAACGGCCTTACAATCTTCCAATCGGCAGACGCACTACACGTATGTTTGTATGCACCGGCCAAACGTACGCGTCGTTCTGCAACTTCTTTGCTACTGAAGGTCGGCCTGTCTCGTAGGCTGTAACGGCAGTGCCAAGGCCTCGGTTAGTCACGTGATGGTGGCATCCGTTCAGATCGTTAATGATACGCGATCGAAACTTTGAATAGATACGTGTTCATTGGAGCCATTCTCCGTTCCTTTTTTTCACGAAGTTCAATTATAATTTCGCTGAAAACATTACTATATTATTACCAGTTTTCGCAGATACAACATAAAGTTTCCTGAGAAAAAAAAGTCCTATTAATTTGATCGGAAATCAGCGTTGCCAAAAAAGAATTAATTTGATTCTATGATTTTTTTCAAAGTTCAGTCGTTTGATTAAAATGCTAAAATTTCTTAGAGTGCTTTTTATATTCCTGATTTTTTCATCACGATTCCCAATTGAGTCTGTGTTAAATTGCTCAATGGCGTTCTGTAAGCACTCTTAAAATTGGTACTTTTCATTTCTTTACATTTTATGGGGGAAGGGTTAAGATAAATTCTCGCCTTGCCGCAATAACGATTGTGCTGCTAATGTGCCTACACTAATGTAAATCGCTTATTGTGTTTTATACCAGCTAGCGAAAATGGCCTGCCTTGTCGTGGCCATGGTTTGACTGACTTGACTCTTAACTTCTAGTATTATGTTTGAAGATTGTACCCGTGTCTGATCATTGTTAGGGTGTAATTTAAAGAAATGTAATAACATTTTGTGGACTGTATATGTCGTTTTGTGCAGATCGGTAAGATAGGATTCAGAGCTTTCCCATGTACACAAACTTGTAAAATCCTCGCTTGTATATCTAGTTCACTCAAAAAGTGCTTGGATTACATGGTGTCGATGCAAAAAATACCCTGGACCAGGCGAAAGTGAGCATCGCAGTCTGATACATTATTTTCTTTCTTCGAAGATATCAGTCGTGATTCAAATAAAAAAATGCCTCCTAGATTTATCACTGTAATTTTTTTCTCTTGAACATTACTTTTAATTTACAGACTTCATCTAATTTTACTTTCTCGTCTTTATTCATTCATTAACATTCGATATATAGAAACGTCGATGTTCAGAAAGGCAATTTTAGAAAATGCTATTAGGGCAAGAATTTTGAAATAAGGGGAAAATTTAAAATTACATAATTAACTAATGCTTTAATAATTCATACCAAATATTTATTAATAGGAACATGAAATTCGCACTGCTTTTTCTGTAACATTAAGGGATTTTCGTTTCAACATTTCGAACACTTTTCTAAAGCGCATAACAGCAAACTGAACCAACTTTGAGGTGACGAACTAACCTCACGAGGCCCATTAGGCCCATTAGGCGCAGGGCACGCGATTGACCTTCAGGTCGCTTTGGCCACGCACTCGCACGACTGGCAAGCTCTCACAGGGAGCGCTAGTGGGAGTGCGAGCTACCTTCATGTTAACTTCATGAGAAAGCTGGGAACCGGACGTCAAAAATTTATGCACATTTATTCAATTACACGAACGTCCAGAAAGACGTTATATTTTCCGCAGTAGTCATACTCTCCTTTCAAATTAAATAATGCCAATTTTAAAATCAATGTTTATAGTACTATGTACTATATATTTTTATTTAAAGAAAAAGTATAGTAGTGTCAGAAAATAAGTTGCATGTACAGAATTAATATTCATTATATAAAAATGTTTTTAAATGGTATTTTTAATGGACAACAAATATTCGCTTCATAGAGAATTTAGATGTGTAGGATGCCCGACTATATTTAATATTCTGGCAGGAATTGGTGCATTTTTGTCAGAAAAATCACATTGTCGGCTACTGGTAACAAACAAGTGTTCCTATATTTACTTAACTTCTTCTAACACCTTAGATGCCAGAATCCACATTTTATGAGTCTTTGAAATTATTTTGTAATTGATATTATAATCGTGATGAAATATGCCGTTGAAAATTAGTTCTTTAAATAAGGCACCGGCTTAGGTGGTTCAATGCTGGTGACCGAGAAGTCCTAGGGCTAGGGTCGCGTCGGAGGCATGAGTTTCAATACTGCCTAGAGTACGAGGAGGAGGCCAATGGCTCGAATGCTCTGGTCGGTAGTTTTCCTTGGTTTCTCCGATCGACATCAGACGTATGCCGGGGCAGTACCCGAATAAACGAACCACGGACCACGCGCTTCCTAGTCTTTGTCCTATCCTCACCCTTACACTAATATGCGCTACACATGCCGGGAGACAGTCGGGAGCTTAGAGCAAGTCCAGGTTGGAGCGGTGGCCTTTGGTGGGAGATACCTGCTTGGGGAAAGTCTACTAGCTGGCCTATAGGTAGACGCCGGATGTCTCCACTCAGCAGCGGAAGATCCCCTCCACCCCCCGCGACAAAAACATGCACTACACTGTCGGGACTAACGACCTTAGCAGATGACGCGCTCAGAAGCAACAGCCTATGTTAACCTGTCATTCATATTAAATAAAGAGAGTATATGTTATTATATTGTACACCAATTCAACTCATTACAATATATGAGTACCGAATATAGATAGATAAATTCTAGAAAGTGTCTCGCCGAAATGCCGTCAAAATACCAGTGGAATCTTCTATATCTGGAGAGGTTTAACGGGCCTGCAGACCTGCGCCGGCGAGCGGGGATTTTTCCTAACCAGAGGGGCACCACCCCAGCCGAGACAGCGCTAAATTCCCGCCCGGGTGAGAAGTGAGGTTAGGACAAGGAAAAGGACGGAAAGATCACGCGCGGTCTGTTGCCACGGAGAGATGTAGCCACTACCGACAGATGTAGACGGCCACCGGGAACCTAAATTTGACGGCGACACTCATGTCGTTAGTCTCATGGTGGAGGCAGTGAGTAGGCGATGCTAAGCGCCTGGTTGCCGCCTTACCGGAAACCCACCAGTTGGGCCTATGGCACGTCGATCTTTGGTCAGGGTTGGGTGAAGATTCTTCGGAATGCTCTGCAATCCACGTATAAAAGTCCGGAAATTACCACCCGTCAGGTTGCCCAGGTTCACGGCGGTACTCACGTCGGTAGCCTAATGGGGTAAGCAGTGAGAAGACGGGATGAGGGCACCGCCCGAACCTTACTTCGGGTGGCCCCCAATTGGGCTCTCGACTTCGTCATAACAGTGGCCTAATATTATGGGCAAAGAGGAGGGACTTGTCTCGGCGCATGTGAGTGGCGAATTGTTCTGACTCCGGTACCAGCCTGAAAGCGAGGAGCTGTCAGCGTGGCGCGACCCAGACGTTGGATGAGGAGGTTGTCGCGAGGGCAAACTGCGTTCCGGTGGGATCCAGGTACCCGTCGACGTACTTGTGCGCCGGCGCGAGGTGAGGATAGAAACACGAAACGTAGATGCAACAAGTACAAGTATGTAGAAGAATCCCATGCAGGGTTCATACAGCTCATGAAGAACCAAAAATAAGAGTATTCGAGATGTTGAGTATTGAATGTAAATGCTCTTGATTGTCGTTTATTTTTATTAATTCAGTTCTAGACTTGTTTCTTCAGTATAATTTAGTTCTCGTAGCTCATACAGGACCCAGTGATAGAGTACACTAAATTATTCTGGGGTCCTATTCGAAATTTTAAACAAAAGTTTTTTGTCATTAGTCATTTCTTGCAAAAACGGTAACTCAAATATTACATTACATATCGTTCCCTGTTGCTATTATTGCCTAATTATTTAATTATCGAAAAAAACTGTTATTTAAGTGGTCTTTGTGATAGTTTTATCATATTTGCGTATAAAGTCAAAATGTCGCATTTTCACCTCGTGTTACAGTGGCTCTAGAAATGTTCAAAATGGTCTTCTCTTGCTTGAACGCAAGGTAGGCATCTCTACCATATGGCCTCCGTAACTGTTTCACAAGGTTGTACCTTAATTTCTGCCACCACGCTTTCAGTGCGCTGAAGACGGTCATCATCATCCTCGACTACGGCAGCATAAACACTTTTTTTTACCCCAGCCTCAAAAGCGGAGCGAATACTTAAATTACGATTTTCAGATACTGACCGCCTCGTAAGCGATCGGGTAAGAAGTGAGGGGCGAGGATAAATTCAGCCTTAATGCGAACCGACACATTTATAAAGAACCGCTCTTGGTGAGCTACACTACGTGCAACATGCAAATTTTCTTTGGCCCTCACATGCAAATTACGTACATTAATTGTGCCAGTTCTTGTAAAACACGCTTCAACTGACCAAAGAACGGAATTTCTCGTTTTCTTTGAATTTTCACAGGAAATGTCTAGACAATTGAAGGACGTTATAAGTCTCTATTGCGCCAATGCAAATGTGCATAAGCTGGAAATGGAAGAGTCGTCATCTCTGCGCGTGAATTGTTCGCCAGACGAGGGACTGCAATCCGGTGACCTCTCGCGCTATTGGATTTTGCTCGCTTCCGGGGCTTCTCGGATAGTGTTAGCAAATGAGTTTTCCAGAGAAGTGACGAGCCCTAACGCGAGATGAAGCCTGTCGCTCATTGGCCGCAACCCTCTTTACGTGAGCACAATCGCATACTCCCAAGCTTAACGTTAATTATTTACAAAACTTAATTGCAACGAAAATCCAATTTTGGCGTATTCAGTCCGCCGGCACCGGCATAGGCTTTGTTCTATGGGAGAAAACTGCATTTGTGCGCGAAACAAACGGCTCCTGTGACCAGAAAACGGTTCCCCTGCAAAATTGTAATTCAGTCTTGACAAACACTAGAAAATATATTTCAGACATGATAGAACACGAATAACATATTTCGTGGGTGGAAATGAGCTACTTGAAAATAGTTTCATCCCATCTCTTTGCTAATGCTTTGTTATATTTTTGAAAATCTCATTTTGCAAAATATATAATTTTTACTGCAAAATAATGCAGTCACACATCGAAATTGTCATTGCCATTCTAGCGTCCAGTTTCTTTTCGAGCGTATACCTCATATCAATCTTGAACCGCAAGTGATATGTATCCACTTTCTCTGTCATTGTATTGATGTCTGAGTTTTGTCTGCTGAATTCAAGTCGATTCTTCGCAGCATCACAACTCACGGCCTACAGAGAGCGACGCGTGTGCCTTCGAAAAAAAAGGCCGGCCAACAGGAACTTCAATGTGGGAAAACGGGGTCTACTTCAAGGACACTGGGTTGTCACGTGGTGTATATTCCTTTATCAGTAGAGTGACTTCTGGTATCATCGGCTGTGAAGCAGTTATCCAATCGGGAGCTTCATACCTGAACGTTAAATCGTAATGAAGCTCGCGATTGGATATCCGCCTCCAGCTGATAATATGTCAGCAGAAGTCACTCAAGGTAAATCGAAGTGTAGTTCACTCTTCTCGATGCAGATGAGTTGCTTTTCTCTTGAAGCATTTACGTAGGAGGCAAGTGCCTCACAGATAACAAGAGTCTGCATTTCTCTGCAGACGTATCTCAGTTATTAGCAGATTCAAGAAACTTATTGAACATGTTGGAGATAAAAATAGAAGCACCTTTCTTGTTATATTACACTGAAGTTGAAGGAAATTGCAACTTTCACCGGTTATCGTTGATAAATTGTTGGTGATTTTGAGGAAAAATAAAATCATTATTTCTCCTACAAAATTAACACCAATATTGTATAATCGTACAACTGGCATTTCACAATGTGGGAGATGCACAAAAAATAATCACTTTTAATAAGCTATTTTTCTAACTACTCGTTCGTAGGAAGTAGTCTGAACTTATCGGAATGTCTTAACGCGATCTCAATAAACATAATTTCATTCGTGGAATTCTTATTAAATACCACTCGCATTACCGTCGATATACTTGTACTTTGGCGTGTGACGAAAAGTCAATGAAACTGTAAACCGCTGTATATATGTTTCTATTGTATGGATATATTTACATCTGTACAAATGAGGATCATTAGAAATATAATTTGTCAGACATTGAAAGAATATGCATTGTTATATGAATATAAGATGTATAAAGAATTCGACTTCGAAGAAAGAGAATTTAGAAAGTATACTCATCCGTTCGATTGTGAAACACTCGAAAACAGTGTGTCGTAGGCCCTTGAATCAGGGTTTCCACAATGCTTCGTTTGGTCTGCAGCAGTTTCTGGACTTCGCGTAAGACATGGAAAATCTAAGACATTACTTGCTTTCACCAAAATCGAATATAGGATATCAATCATTAACGGTTTATTTTATATTATTGGACGCAAATTTGTTTCTTGTGAGATGGCATTTTTAGAAATATGCTTGGGAAAATTGCTCCTTTCACATAAGAATTTATCAAAGATGAAATGATCGGTGGTGTGATTGTTTAAACCGTCTCTGCACCTAGATCACTTCTACTGCCTTCACTTCTCTTTGTAATTGTCGGCGTTGCCTAATTATCTTGCAGTTGACACCGAATGGTACAACGGGAGGTGACCTCCGACCCCACTCTTCTTGTGACAGATCAGAAAATGTTACAGTCTAGAATACGTCTGCAAATACAATTTATACCAACGTGGAATTAAACTCTTCCCGTTGAATGAATTTATGTAGTCTATCAGTGTTTACTGATTGCGTAGTGATATTTTAACCCGCATGATCGTTTATTTTATGAAACATGATAGGGAAAATTATTAACAGTTATTTTATTTTACATTAGAAGACTGTTTCTTGTTAGGGTAACTTCTGGGAGAAAATAAAATGTTTGCGGAAATTACTCGCAACGAATCTGTTGAAAGCTGTACGGTTTGAAACCTATTTTTTATCGTCAAGTTAAAAAAAACTATGTGATGTATAAAGGCAAAGTACTAATTTGGCTCGTTTTCTTGAGTTCCGAAACCCCTACGTCTTCTCTTTTGCTTCACTTCGTTCAGTTAAAACTAAAAGAATCAACTCGCATTTTCTGGCAAAATTTCATTATGAAAAACATTCGGCCTCTTGTAAACATAATACTTGAAATACAAACTGGTAATACATAAAAGGAAAGAGTATTTTTACATTTCGTTAATGATTTATTACAATGAAGAGTTTAGTTCAAGAACAAGGGTTGTTCATTGTGACTCTTGCTCCGCTTGCGCCCGTCCGCCCCAGTCCTCCTTGATCATGTGCGCGGCCTTCTCGCCCACCATAATGGCGGGTGCGTTGGTGTTGCCGCTGGGCACGACGGGCATGACGGAGGCGTCGGCCACGCGCAGCCCCTTGACCCTGCGCACCCGCAGGCGCGCGTCCACCACGCTGCCCGGGTCGTGGGCCGGCGCCATCTTGCAGGTGCCCACCGGGTGGTAGAGGGTGGTGGCGAGCTCGGGCACGGCGCAGCGCCAGAAGGCGCGCGAGCCGAAGGCGTGGGAGCGGCACGGGGCGGGCACGAGGGGCTCCAGGCGCGCGTTGAGGGCGCCCAGCGCCTCGGTGGACGCCAGCCGCGCCGTGGCCTGCGACCAAACGGTTCCTTGCGGTCAACGGAACTTAATGCTGAAGAAACGGAACTTGACATTAACGAAACGAATCTCGACGGTAACGAGACGACACTAGACGTTAACGAAACATAAACATAAATCTTGCTTTAAATTATCAGTTGATAACAAGAATACTATCATCTTACTGAACGTTCTGAACGTTTTTCGTAAGTTAATGCTCATGAAATTCAAGGCTTTGTCAATAATCTGATCACCTGCGAAATGTGGCCAACCTGGTCCACCCTGTTCCTATGGTTCGGTACATTCCAAAAAAACTTCGTGATTAATACTCACCTCGATTAGTGAAACCACGTCCTGTGGGACCTGACTGTTAGGTATATTCACTTTAAAAGGCGCCCTTATCACCTCTCACATGAGGAAGAACAGGTTCTCCCTGCTCCGATCATGGGGGACAGTCAGTGAAAATGCGTTGTGACACTCACCTCGATGAGCAAAACTATGTCTTCCGTGTACCAATATTTGGGTAGATTCCATATAAAGCCGTCGATAGTACTCAGCTCGCTGAGCAGGTCCAGGTCTTGCCTGATGTGATAGCTGAGTATATTCCCTTTGAAAAGGCACCTTTATCACCACTCATCTCGATGTTTGAACCAGTTCCTTCGTTCCCTGATCGTTGGGTGCACCCCCACTCACCTAGATGAGCAGCACGCGGTCCTTCGTGCCCTGATCGCTGATGCATCCCCACTCACCTCGATGAGCA